CAAAACATTAATGACTTGGAGAGGATCTGCAAAGAGGAGTGGGTCAAAATCCCCCCGAGATGTGTGCAAACCGTGTAGCCAACTACAAGAAACGTCTGACCTCTGTGATTGCCAACAAAGGTTTTGCCACCAAGTACTAAAGCACGTTTTGCAAAGGGATCAAATACTTATTTCATTCATGAAAATGCAAATTACTTTATAACTTTTTTTGTAATGCGTTTTTCTGGATTTTTTTGTTATTGTTGTCTCTCACTGTTCACATAAACCTACCACTGAAATTGTAGACTGATCATTTCTTTGTTAGTTGGCAAACTTACAAAATCAGCTGGGGTTCAAATTATTTTTTTCCCTGACTGTATGCATCTGGTGCTGGCCCAGGCCGTCTGTCAAATTTTAAAAGTCAATGTGGCCCCTGAGCCAAAACGTTTGCCCACCCCTGATTTAGGTGGTCGGGGGCAGACACAGTCTCTTACAGGTACTGGGAGTTTTGGGTAGTGTGTAAGACCCTGCATCCTGAACTCAACTCTGGGTTGTCATAATTTAGGTTATAAAATAAACTCATCCATATTTCTAGATATGAGTGCCGCATCATTCAAAGTGGGATGGGTGCTCTGCTAATCAGACCAGGTTTTCCCCAAAATGTTTTCCAGTTATCTATGAAGCCCACATGGTTTTTTCCACAGAAACGCCACCCTGTGGTGTGTTAGTTTGGAGTAGTGGCATTTGAGTTGCAGGCTTCTCTAAACATGCATGTATATTTCCTCCGCGTTTACTACTGCGTTTTAAAGAGCCAGAATAGGGATGGTCTTTGTCACCCCAGTCATCACTAGAGCTATCACTTTCAGACACAACCTGCACTGCCCTGTGACAACCATGCTTTTTATTCCCTGTAGCAGAAGCAGTACAAACACTGGAAGGCTGAGTTTTCACCAAAAGGATTACCCTCCTTCAGCAAATTCTTCACGCTGTCTGAGCCAACTGCACTCCTTTGACTGGAAGTGCCTGGCTCCTCACTGCACGGGGCAGTCTGTGCCCCAGATCCTGCAATTACGCCATCTAAATACTGCTGGGCGCTAGTCCAGTCTTCCTCCTTACCGGGAAAACAGACCGTCTTTAAAATACCTCCTTTGATCACAACTAATGATGAACCACTTTGTTCAGTATCAGCAAAAGCACGTAATGGCATTTGGTGGTGAGCATTATTTTGAAAATCTGTCTCCTCTCTGTCTTCCTCTGCAGCTTGTGTGTGAGGAGGAGGGGCAGAGGGTGCGCGTCCCCGCGTGTCACGTGAGGGAATGTCAGAGACGTACGCTGTTTCAGCAGTCAATGTGGCTCTCTGGATTTTTTTCAAACTCGCCCAAAAAACAGACACAGTTCTTCTCTCTAGTTGTCCTTAACCAGATGTACCCTGTAGAAACTCATAAGCATGCCTAAGCATTTAACAGTCTAACCAGACATCCTATCTCCACTAAACATTTCTAATACATAAAGTATCTATCCAATTTCTATCTGACTAAAAATACCTAACACTCTCAACTAAGCTACTAGCTAGCTAGCTTTTAAGCTAGCTGACCTAAAGTAGCAAATTAAATTTGGCATTAGGAAGAACTTCTGTTACACAGGTGCTTAAGTAGTGCAGGTGTATGTTGTCACTCAAAAAAATGACCTGTTGTTCAGATAAACCTAGAAAATTGTGAGCTTAATCTGTAAACAATCTGGTAGCAAGCACAAGACAGTACAGGAAACAGGAAGTGAATACGATTACCACAGGAACCCGCATGCTGAAAATAAAAGCTTTGATTAGTAACTTTAAGTTCTGTCTGGACATAAATCCTTTGATTGTTGCTTTGTTTGTTCATGGTAGAATGCAGTTAATAATTAAACATCTAAAAACCTGGTTATTGTTGTTCACAAACAGAATCAATCTGAGCACTAATTCTCAGCCTTCTTCTTTTATAACAAAGACAATTGTCATTTAGTTTGATGTTGAAAGTTCAGGCACATACAGTACAATAATTTATTTGTCCAGCTACATTGCAGAATCATTGAATGTGAATATACTTGCTTGATGACAGAGCAGGGTCAGTTTGGGTTTTATCTACATAACTATGGTGGTAGTTATTGTTTTGTATAATATGGCCTGATGGGAGTTCATGGAATGCGCACCCCAGCTTGTGACTTTCTTGTACATACACTTGAATCACAGAGATGATCATCCGTTAATCTGCGATGTTGAGAGAGTGCTGAATGTTTGAACCCTGCAGTGTTTTTTTTTTTTTTTTTTTTTTTTTTTTTTTTTTTTTATATAAGACTCACCAAAATTCTGAAGGTATTTCCCAAAACACCATAGATTCTTCCAACAATGCAGAATCAAAAATAGTCCAGTCCAGGAAAAATAACATTTTTGTCTACATTAGTCAGTCTGTCAAGTACTATTGTATGGTCAACTGTGTCAAAGGCAGCGCCGAGATCTAATTAAACTGGAACTACAGCAGTGTCATTCAGAACCAATTACTATGTGATGTATATCTCTTCACAGTAAAGTAGTCAAAGGTGTATAAAAGGTTTACCAGAACCATCTCTACCTGAGTTTTCACAACTCTTTACATTACACATAGCCTCCCCTAGGGCTTAGTACACATGTTCCAAAGGAGTCCTTCATCTGAACAATATTTCAAATCTGAACAGTATTACTCCTTACTGATTAATATCAGTTAAACAATTAAACAAAGGGCTTTTCTTACCTAAACATAGATTGTGGCATTCTGATATCTGGAACAGGGTCTTCTGTTTATCAAGTTAATAATTTTATGAAATGATTAAAAAAAAAAAGTCAAATTCCAAATCCTGTGAAAAATTTCTTTATGATGGAGCTGAGCTATAGTAATGCAAATCAGTTGAGGATTCTGTTTAATTTTGCACAGTCTTAGTCAAATCTAAAAAGTCTCACCTAATTTTTTTTTATATTTTTTTTTTCTTGCATAGTAACGCAGGTGAGAAATTGCTTTTTCTGAAATGACAGAGTAGCTCAATTAAAAAAAGTCATCAGAGCAACTGTTGAAAATGCCTTCCCTCTCTGTACCTCCCTTCAGGTTGTCAAAGCACCCCTATATGGTACCAGCATGTAACAGCAGCAGCAGTACATTCAATACGACCTACCTGCAGGGCGACTTCTCCTCCTCCGCAGAGTTCTTTGTGTGTGTCGGTGTGTTTGGGTTCCTTTATTGCACCGCCACACTGATCCTCTACCTGGGCTACCAGAATGTCTACCGCCAGACAAGCCGTGGCCCTGTCATAGTGAGTGCACATCCTTTTACATCCTTCTTGCATTCATCCTTTTTTTTTTTTTTTTTTTTTAAACCACTAACCCTCTTCACAACCTGGGTATGAGAGGAGTTAGGGTTATTTTTTCTATTTTGGGTAGTTGGTTTGGAATATTTTTTTTTTTCCTCCTCTCATGACAGGCATTCAGACAGAAATCAGCATCAAAACATACTTAAGAGTACTAAATGTGAAAGTACTCATTATGCAGAATGGCACATTTAACATTTCTGTATATCATATTATTGTATTATAATTACTGATGCATTATTGTGGACATCACATTTAATGTTGCAGCTGGTAAAGTGGGAGCTATTTTTAACTGGCTTATATGCATTTAATTGAATTACTGCTGGGTCGCTTGTGAATTTCCCACAATAGATCAGTAAAGTCTTATAACCATACTGTATTTTTTTGTATTAACTTGATTCTGAAAAGCAACAAGTAACTAAGGTTATAAAATAATTGTAGTGGCGTAACAGATGCAATATTTGCCTCTAAAATGTACTGAACTTAAAGTATGAAGTAACAGAAAATGAAAATACTCCAAGTACGGATACCTCAAAATTGTACTTTAGTTACAGTACTTGAGTAAATGTTCTTAGTTATTTTCCATCACTGGGTATTGGCACCAATCCGGGCATATTTCACAGGATCAGTATTGGCCAGAATAAAGCCAATCCAATTCCCAATCTTATAGTCCTGTTTTTCATCCAACCAATAAGCTGCAATGTTAATCATTTCAGCTATCTACACTGCCTGTGTGTCAGGTTGCATATCACTAGCACTCTATGGGCGTAGCTGCCACCTGAAGTCTGTTTCTAGTTTCAGGTCTACTTGAGCTGAAAAAATCAACTTGACTAGATTTCTAGGTCGAAGACGTGTCACCTCTCTTCCAAGAAGCTTCTTCAGTTCTGACTGACTGGTGTTGAGCCGGAGATATTTATCCCCCTTGGTGGTGTTTCAGTCCTTTGAAGGCCAACAATGTCCCTTAACGACTGAGTCGTTATAGCCCAGTATCGGTGAGAGTCATTACCTGGCCTTGAATCCTCCCCTGTGGACCGGCACCTATTGTCCTGGTGGGCATGTTTGGGCAGGGATCTCAAAACAGGATTGTAGATCGATGGCAAGTTGTGTCTTAGTCCGCCACCCCTATTTAGTGAGGGGTGTTCTATTTTTTTACAAAAATAGCTTCCTTAACTCCTCTCTCAAACCAGCGATGTTCTCTGGAGAGGATCTGGACTTCACTGTCCTCAAAAGAATGTCCTTTGTCGTTCAGGTGGAGGTGGACTGCTGACTCTGGTCCACTGGAGTTGGCCCTCCTGTGTTGGGCCATGCATTTGTGAAGTGGCTGCTTAGTTTCACCAATGTACAAGT